AAAAAATAAGAACCAAGATGCATTATGTAAAGGTACAATTCCCAATGAGCAATGTAATTGTGTTGTATACCTACAATGTACCAATAAAAGAATTTAATAAAAATAATAGTGTCAGGGTAACAGGAGAAAACACATTCCTCAGAATAAAATTAATAAATTATAAGTTACACAAGGCTGTTTTATAAAGGCCCTATTTTTGGTAAGAGACTTTTGGTTTGTTGCCAGATGATGGTGGGCAAATGGAGGTGATGATCTTCATCAGTGAGAAAGATATGGAATGTGGGCAACGAGGGAGTAGAACGTTTAAGAGCTTCTCTGCTTGTCATGGTTTCTGTCTAGATGTCCCCCAAGAGCCTCCTGCCCTCAGAAGTGGGCTTTTGGAAGGAGACTGACTGTGGGGGTGCTACAGCTGACTTGTGTCAGGAGGTGGCGTCTGGTCAGAGGCTGGTCACTGCAGTGGTGGCCTGGAAGGACATATCTTCTTGCCAGCTCCTCCTTTCCCTCTCTGCTTCCTGGTGGCCATGAAGTGAGCAGCTTTCCTCTGCCCAGGCCCTTCCTCCCTGCCACCTACCTGGCAAGGCCTGAAACCTCTAAGCTGTGAGCTAAATCTGTTCTCTTTTTCATTGTGGGTGTTGGGTGTTGTGTCCCAGTGCCTAAGACACTCCTTCTCCCTCATGGAGGAGGGAAGGGAGGCACCCACCTGCTTTCCTTCCTATGAAGTCTCTACTTCCAAGAGATACTCCAGATAGCCGTGAGCATGTCAGCCTTACCCATTCCACAGAGTCCCTGAGGTGGGAGGAAGCACAGGCTTGTTAGGGGTTGCAGCAGCATGAGTGAAGAGACATCCCCATGAAAGGGGTTGCTAAATAGGGATCCTCCACTGATAGGCACTGTCTCATAGGTGTCTGAGGAGAATTTCTGACATCCAGGTACTTCATCGGTGGGATCCATTGGGTCCCCCACTCACCCCATATTGAGACAAGAAGTCAGAAGCCAGGGCAGTGGTGTTAAGCACAGACAGAGGACAACAACTCTGCCATCACCCAGGCAGAAGTACAGTATTCCTAACAGGCCGCCATGGCTACATCCAAGAATGATGCATTCAATCAAGCAACTCTGGACAAGCAGAGCATAAAACCCTTTACCTTGCCTGACATGAGGCTTGGTCAGGGAGAGAATGGGTTCCTGGCCCAGCCAACAGATTCAGATCATAAATTATTCTAGCAGCAGCAGCAGAGAAGGGAGACTCTGTGGCTCTAGGGCAAGCTCAGTTGCCCAGCAGACCAGAGGAAAAAGAGGGACTGAAGCCTGGGGACCCCAACTCCTTCCTGCCACCCCCTCACCTCAGCTGCACCCTGCTCTCATTGCAGGATGACGGTTAGGGAGGGAAGCGGGGAGGAACTTCTGAGAGACTCTGCAAGTTCATCTGAGGCTGAACACCACACAAATGGGCATTTAAATAGAGGAAGCTCTAGAACACTTGGCCTGTGAGTGAATTTTATTCCCACTATCAGTGAATGAGGACTTCAGGGAAAATCTCAATTAATCATAAACAAATATTTGTATTTATTTTGCATTCCTAGGTTTTTCTGCCCTCCCTCCCTTCCTTCTTTCATCTTTCCCTCCTTCCTTCACTCCTTCCCTTGCTCCCTCCCTCTCTCCTTCCTTTTTTTCTTTTTGAGGTAAGTTCTTGCTGTGGTGCCCAGGCTGTTACTGAACTCTTGGGCTCAAGCTATTCTTCCACCCCGGCCTCCTGAGCAGCTGGGAGCACAGGCCTGTGTCACTGTGCCTGCTTATTCCTAGGTTCTAGCATCTGGATTTCTGACTTCCTATACATTATTACTGTATGATGAAGTCTGAAAAATGAGGTTCTCTCTTTAAGAAGTAACATAGTAGTGTGATGCAGAAAGAATATCTATGATAAACCTATTTTGATATGAAATACAGTGGCTTCTCTTCCCAGCTCTGCAACTTACTTATTAGATGCCCAGCCTTGGGTGAACATTGCTGAATCTCCCTCCCTCATTTTCTTCATCTTTAGAAAAGATAAAGTCCTAGCTAGGCTCTTGGATTATTACAAGGATTAGAAGCAATGCACAAGGAGTTCATGTACAGTCCCTGGCATACAAATGATGCTACACATTGGCCAGTAGCATTAGTGCGATTACTATATGCTGTGGCTTTCTTGCTTATTTTGTAGCAGGGAAACCAGAATCTCTATCACCCTTGCTTACTATTTGCTTTTCATAAATAAGGCTAAATAAATCTCTCAGTGACAGCTAATTCTCCTACTGTAATATTGTGGACAACCTATGCTCACCAAAAACCACAAAGGAGGCTAAATCCTACTTGTTTGTATTACTTTGCAGAGTCTTTTAAACTAATAAGAAATGAGAACAAAATATGAAAATTTACTTGAGAAATCACTAAAATTCTTGAGACTTGTCTTTTAGATCATAAAAATGGTGAGTGGATAAATTTTTATTTAATCCTCTGAGGTGGCCAATTCAGTTATTTTTGGCTCCCAGGTCCTTTTTTTAAAAACTAGCAGGAATATTTTGTCCTGAAACATCAAAAAATTACTTTAATTCCCTTTAAAGAGCTAAGTATGTACCTATTTTGATGGAAAAGGTAGAGAAAACATAAACTATTTATGAAAATTGTCACAGATAACAAGAATTTATTCTTAAAATAGCACAATTTACCAGTTTTATAAATAGAAAAATAGCAAAAGATACAGAGATTTTCTGTTTTAGACAACTTGTTCTTCTTAGTTATAGCATTTCTTCATACCAAAAGTGTTTACTAACATACATTTAAAAAATCAACCACAAAAACATCTCTTAAGCTTTCTGATTCAAATGGACATAACATATACAAACATGATTAGAAACATTGAGATGAAAATAGAAAAGTTGCAGTACATCCACATTTCCTATACAGTGGTCCTTCTTTCCATGGTTTTGCTCCTCATGGCTTCAGTTACCTCAGGTTAACCACAGTTTGAAAATTCCAGAGAAAAATAATTGGTGATTTTTCAGTGGCATGCTGTTCTGAGTAGTGTAATGAAATCTTGTACCTTCCTGTTCTGTCCTGTCTGGGATGTGACTCATTCCTTTGTCCCAAGCGTCTGCATTGCATGCAATATCCACCCACTGGTCACTTAGTAGCCCGCTCAGTTTGCAGATGGGTTGTCAAGTATTGCAGTGCTTGTGTTCAAGTGACCTGTATTTTACTTAAAAATGGTCCCAGAGTCCAAGAGTAGCAACCCTGGCAATTTGGATCTGCCAAAGAAAAACCATAAAGAATTTCTTTTCTGTGAAAAGGAAAAAAGTTTTTATTTAATAAAATAAATTGTATGCTGATGTTGCTAAGATCTGTGGCAAGTTATTGTTGTTAATCTCTCACTGTGCTAACTTATTGTTAAACTTTATCACGCTTACATATGTGTAAGAAAAAAACAGTCTATGAAGGGTGTGGTGATGTTAAGGTTTATATCTAGATCTCCTCAAGAGTCTCATTTGCTCACAGGTGGGGTGTAGGGAAGGTGATTAGATTAGGGGAGCTTATAGCTGATCTGTTGTTTGGAGGTGGGATCTAGTTGAAAGAGGTGGGTCACTGTAGGAGTAACATGGAAGTTTCCATTTCCAGCTCCTCCCTTGGCTCTGTGTTTCCTGTCCACCATGCTTGAGCAGCTCTCTTTCGCCATACCCCTGGGCCATGCTGTCCTACCTTGGAGCCAGACCACTGCAGACTGAAATGTGAGCCAAGATAAGCCTCTCCTCCTTTAAGTCTCGGGTGTCGGGCATTGTGTCCCAGTTATGAGCAAGTGACTAAGACAGGTATTATGAGTGATTTCAGGCATCTACTGGGGATATATTCTAAGAAATGTATTTCCCATGGATAATGGAGGTGGCTGTATTTAGATCTATTTTATTATTTAAATCAAACATTTGTGGGCTTTTTAGTGAATTTTCATAATTCATATCTTCATGTTTAATCACAATGAATTACAATAATCACACGATTAACTCACACTTTCAATATCGCCCCAATGTTCCTGCCATCAGTCACTACAATGACCCTCTGTTTCAGGTTACACCATTAGCCATGCCCCTGGATGTTCCGAGATGCCTGCAGTTCAATATTCATGTCATGAGTCCCTTACCATTTCTCATCTCTGGGCACTTCTAGTCACTGTTTCACCTTGTCTTTGTGTCATACTAGGGACAAAGGATTTATAAATCCTTAAAAGAAGATGAGACAAAATCAAATGGAGTCCTGTATCAGCCATTGGTTCACATTATTAACATACTGATCATAGGGAAGTCTAATATTAAAATCAGCAGTTAACTCAGAGGTGACAGAATAGTACATCCTAGTTTTCTATTTCACTGAGTACTCCTTTTTATTGATTCTTCTTCCAGATGCTTAATTGTGGAGTATACCAGTGCCCACTCCCTCTGTGACCTCATCTGTCTCTCGAGTTTACATGCCATCTGTATACCCTTAGTCTTTCTGAATTTATATCCCCAGCCTAGACCTTTACTCAAACTACAGAAACTCGGATAAAATGTCTTATTGGTAAAGATACTCTAAAGTGTAATTGGCAGTTCAGATTTCATATTCCAGAACAAACTTCCGGGTCATTCTCCTCTTTTCTACCCTTGCGAAGTGTTCTCTACTACTGTGGTTTAAGTGTGGTTTATACCCTCGGAAATCCATGTTAGAGTTTATTCCCTGTGGTGAGGTATCCAGAGAGTGGAAATTAATCCAACTGCAGTGTTTAGAGTTGGCAACTTTGGGAGGTGATTAGGTCTAGATAAGGTCACCAGGGTGGGGTCCTCATGACTGAGTACTGGAAGCTTTATAAATAGAAGGAGACCACAGCACTCATACCACACATGCATGCTCCCTGTCTCCTGCTATGAGATGTATTATGAGAGGATTTTGCTAGCAAGAAGGAAATCAATACAGAGATTCCTCAAAACACAAAACAAAACATGGGGCCGGGGATTTAGCTCAGTGGTTCTGCCGCCTGCCTTGCAAGTGGAAGGATCCGAGTTCGATCCCCGGTACCAAAAAAAAAACCCCACCCAAAAGCACCACCAAAAACTAGAAATTCCATCTGACCCAACTATTCTCCTTCTAGGTATCTTCCCAAAAGAGTTAAAGACGTTATATTACAGTGCTACATGCATACCCATGTTTATAGCAGCATAATACATAATAGACAGATCTTGGAAGAGGCCTATATGTCCACCAACAGAAGAAAGGATAAGGAAAACGTGGTATTTATACACAGTGGAGCACTGCTCTGCTGTAAAGAAAGATAAACTTGGGTCACTTGTAGAAAAATGGGTGCACCTTGAGACTGTAATGTTAAGTGAAATAAATTGGATACACATGGTTAAATATTCCATAGTTTCTTTTGTATGAGAAACCCAAAATATAAATAACGAGCAAAATAAAAGATAATAGGAAGTAAGGACATAGATCTTTCTCAAATGGAAGGAGAATCAAGAGATGAAGGGAGGGTGAAGGGAGGGAAGGGAAAGTGGATGGATGAAAAAGGAATGAAGATGTGTTATGAGTATGTACAACTCCACACAAGGAATGTGAACACTCTATACTGCAAATGTGGACTGATAAAAAGATTTAAGGATAAAAGAATTTTAAAAAGAAGGCCATTTGTCAGCAAGATGTAGCTCTTTGACTTGGACTTCCAGAACCATGAGGCAAAATAAACCTCTTTTCATTATAACTTAGCCACATATGGTAGTATATTATTAGAAACAGAAAACAGACTCATGCATCTACCTTAATGGCTACTCAAACCTTCTAATTAATTCAGGAGATTAGAGTCATCCTTGACTCCTTCTTTCATTGCTCATATCCTGGTGGCTGCAGTCACTTCTCTCCACCTTTCTCACCACTGTCCTGGTCCAAGGACCATAATTTCCCACTGGCAGTATTGCAATAGCCTCCTGAGAGGTCTCCCTGCCACCCACCTCTAGTCTTAACGCAACAGCTGGAATGATTTAGTTAGCAATCAGCTCCAATCATCTTAGTCTTAATCCAAAACCTTCCAGTGGCTTCCCACTATACTCACAGAAAAAGCCAAAAATGCTTTACAGTGCCCCAAAATGCTCCATGGAATCTGCTTTACACACATGTGCATACACATACACACACACACACACACTCACACACAACCTCTCTCCCTACCTATTTCATTCTGACCTCATCCATGGCCTCCTCTCCCACCCTCCTCCTCCTCCTCTGTTTTGTTCTTTTTGCCTCCTTTTCATGGTCTGAACCTACCAGGTATTTTCTTCCCTTGGGGTCTTTGCCTGGCTATTTTTTTTTCTTGGATTGGTCTTCCCTCACATACCCATGTGGTTTATGCCTTCACCTCCTCACATGTTGCTCAGATGACCTCCTCTCAGTGATGCCTTTCTTGAATCTTATTTAAAACTGAGAACCACCCTTCTCTGAGTGGCCCCTGTTTTCTAGAATTTCCAGGTCCCCTTTTCCCTTGTTTTTCTGTGTCCTATTTATCACCACCCAGCAAACGATATGGTGTGCCAGTTTATTGTTTGCATTTCCTATCTGACTGCCTTCTCTTAATCAGAAAGTAAGTTCCATTATAATGTCCAGGGTCTTTTTTTTTTTTTTGTCTCCAGTGCCTCATTCATAGTAAGCACTCAATAAATATGTGTGAAATGAATAATACTGGGCATGTGCTGAACTTTGTATTAAGTAATTGACATTTCTCAACAGCACTGTGACACAGGTTCTACCGTCTTCCTCATGTCGGGACACTGAAGCACACAGTGAACAAGGCTCCAGCCCAAGACACACTGAAGTTCACTACCATGGAGATTAATTTCCAGCCAAGGCTTTCTAGCTCCAGAGACTGAGATGTCAGTCACTTTGCTATATGAGAGAAAGTTTTCCTCAAGGCTGGAGAATTTTATCGTATTAGATAACAGCCATTTTATTTTTTTATTAATATATATTTTAATTGACACATAGTAATTGTACTTACTTATGGGGTTGAATGTGGCATTTCAATGCATATAAACAATGTATGAGGATCAGATTAGGGCAATTTACATCTCTACCACCTTGGATAATTTTTTAAAATTGTGCAATGGCTTTAATTTGTCCTTTTCCTTTCTGAATTATTAAATTAGGTCTCAATAAACAAAGACGCTCTTAAAAACTTAGTGTCAAGTAATCATAAGTAAGAAAAAAGCAAGTGTTTTCCTCTCCTTAATATATAAAGCTAGGGTTTATGATTTTTGTCTTTCGGCATAGTCCACCAAGGTGCTTGTGGCAATACTGAAAAAGTAGATCAGACTTCTCTGTTCAAAGAACAAGAGCTTTCATCTGCTAGAACTTGTCCTCTCATTTTTCGAACAATTATGCAGGCCTGATGGAAACAAGATTGGACTTGGTTGAGATTGAGTATCAGCTCATGACATTACAGAGAAAATTTTGTTTGCCTCACTTGCAAAATGAGGTCCATTCTTCTTTTTTTGGTACCGGGGATCAAACTCAGGACCTTGCACTTGTGAGGCAGGCAGCAGAACCACTGAGCTAAATCCCTGGCCCCAAATGAAGTCCATTCTTACACCCTGTCCATAGCACTGCTTCAGTGTGATGTAACTGTAAGTATCATCAGTGGATAACACATGTGTCAAGTTGTTTCCCCAATCCTTTCAAAGATTAGAAATGAAATAGAAATAGACACCAAGTGTATGTTGAACACTCTTTGTTAAGGAGTAGTTTGTTTATTCTAGTATTTACTTCATTTCTTTGATTATTAATATTGTATGTAAAAGGTTGGAAGCACTTGCCTCATTGGCTAAAGGTGTTTTAGATGGTAGTGTATAATTCTGAGAAAAAAGTGAAATTTGATTTGATTTGATAAGACTTAATTCCTGGAAAGTATTTAAAGTCTTAGCTAAAACTACTGGTAGGTGATTTATTTAATTGCAAATCCTGGTTGGATTTTTTGCTTAATACAATAAACTTAATATATTGTCTTAAAATTAACTATCCTGTCTATCAATATATTTGCAGTTTCATTTAGAAACTTCCTTAAAATACCCTTTTTTGCCCATGTTTTGCCACTAATTCAATGCTCTTAAATGTTACAAATGATGACATATTTTGTTTCATGTAGGGAATGGTTTTTAGCCTTTCTGGCACTAAAAATAGTATTTAGCTATTTAGATAATTAGCTCTATGTATCATTTATTATTCACCGAAAATATTGAATGTCACTTTAGGAAAGAGAACAAAGATTTCTACCTTAACACCTTGTTTTCTCTTAGCCCTTTCCTCCCATGCTTGCCTTCCTCTTCTAACCCATTGCTCCTGGCCCTCCCCAGCCCTAACGTTAGACTGTATTGTGTGCTTTGAAATCATTCCTCCATGATATCTCCAAATATTCAGTAAAATTGCTGCTTGTTTGTTTTTGTGGAAACTGCCGATAAGCTTGACCTTTGTGCTCCAATACAGGCATCTGAGTGGAGACACAGGAAGGATATCAAGAAGCCTTCCTCATCACATAAGCCTTGAAATTAAGGCATTAGGTCAAGTTTCCATAAATTTCTGAGAGACAGAAAATCCCTAAACAATATTGGGTTATAAAATATTACCCTAATCTTCAAAGGGCAGTGGGGATCCTTAAAGAAGATTTTAAGAATCTTTCAAAATCCAAAAGACTGGGAAATATTGTCCAAGCCAGCAGTCCCCAGTCCTGTTATATCTTGGATACAACCTATGTGTGCATCTCCCTGAAGTAAAAATAATTCCTTAGATATAATAGATAGCAGAAACAAAAGAGAAAATACTTCAAAATAAAATAACATACATTTCAAGATGCAAGAATAATTGATAAAGCTACTTGTTATGATTTAGATGGAGAACGTCCCCTAAATACTTCATGCGCTCAGAGGTGGGACTTTTGGAAAGTGATTGAATCATGGGGGGGTATAGCTGACTTGCTTGTAGGAGGTGGGGCCTGTTTGGGGGAGTCATGCTGTGGTGGTGTGGCCCCGAAGGGTTTATCTATCTTCCCTGGCTCTTCTTTTGCTCCCTGCTTCCTGGCTGCCATGATGCAAGCAGATTTCCTCCATCACCAGGCCCTTCCACCATGCCATTTCTCTGTTTGAGCCTGCCAACCATGGACTGTGACTTCTGAAACTGGGCGCCAAATAAACCTCTCTCCCTTTAAATTGTAGGTGTTAGATATTGTGTCTCAGCAGCAAGAAAAGTAATTAAGATGCTATCCTAGAAGAACTAATGAGAAAATTAGATGTTCTATGCGTAAAATCTCTACAAATATAACAGAAACAACTCTAGCGTAATATGAGTGTGTGGTGATGGCTTCCAGTGCTTATGAGGTAAAGTTGGATCTTAGGTTTAGCATGTGAGATCCTATAGGATGTCATCCTTCTTTCCACTCCAAGTTTTCACATACATGTGCACGCGCGCACACACACACACACACACACACACGTGCCGCTGTTTAGTGACTCATTGCTTTTGCTTATGTACCTGGAGGTTAGGAACCTTCCATCCAGGATTCAGCTTAGGTATTTGCATTTTTTTCCATGAGGGGGCCTTCTAAGAATTTCATAGTCTTTCGTTCTCATAAAGCTCTGTGGAAACCTGAGGTACTTACCAGATTTGATTGAAATCATCTGCTTACTTCTCTATTTCCTTCCCCAGCCTGGAAATTTGGCCAGTGTAGTGATAGCCTCCTTCCAGGGTAGGTCATCAGCATTTAGGCAATGCTTTGTGGAGATTTCGAGGATTAAATGGCTCCAATCAGCATCATCCAAGACACTGATGCTGGTAGTTCTTTGACCTACATCCCGACTCTTCAGTTTACCCCCATGCCACTTCCTAGCCATTGTTTCTCAGTTTTTCAGTAGAATGCTCAGCTGTGATGCTCCTATGCAAGATACTGGGACCTCTTCTTATTAAAATTTTCTTCATAACATATAGATCAGAGCATACGTTGCTGTCAAATAAAAATTACCTAGTCAGAATCTTCCTTTGAAAAACTTACAGTGAATTTTACTTAAATGAAAATCCACTTCTTAATTTTTACTCACAGAAAAATCCCTATACAATTTTTCAATGAAGAGAGGCAGGGAAGATTAGTAGTTAAGAAGGGAGGCTTGGACTGGAGATGCAGCCCAGGCTGGAGTGCTTACCTAGCATGCTCGAGGCCTTGGTTTCAATTTCTAGCTTTGGAAAAATAAATGAAAAAGCAGGCTCTGTAAAGTCCACCTGCTAGAGCTCAAATTGTGGCTCTGCCCATTACAGGAAGTTACTTAAGCTCCCTGACAACTGACTCAGTCTCAATGCCTTAATTTTCTCATCTGAACAATAGGAGTAAAAGTACATGAAGCATTCACTAGGCCAGGGCTCAATAAATGTTAACCATTAATATTATTTGTGCAGTGGCTTGAGTGAGGTCACTGGACTTGCTAAGGCAGAAATGAAGTACATTAGCAGAGATTCTATAATGATTCATACTGGTTTATTCCTATAACTTAAGCTATTTTCAAATATATAAAATAATAAACCCTTTTGTTCCAAACTGAAGAGGATTTCAGGCTGGGAGTCCAGTGGGAGAGGAGCTCAGATGGTAAGAGCATGCAGAGAAGCAGAAGCAACAAATACCTACAGGAAGGGAAGATTTTGAGCTCATGTGAAGACATCTGAATAGATTTCATGGGAAAAGGCACCATAGGGTGACAATCTGACTCCCTCTGCCCCACCCCTCCTGTTTCATTCTATGGTTAAAGAAAAGTGCCAAGTTCAGCTGTGCACTGGGAATCTGCAGGAGGTGAAAACTTCCAGGAGAGCTGGAGAGGGCACAATGGCAGGGTTTGGTTGCACAAGAACCCAGAGTGCTTGCTGCCTCCCTGGAGCTGCAGGTAGCCTCTTATTCCACTTAGATCTGGTCCAAAGAAGCAGCCAGCATGTGGTTCAGCACAGATTAGAAGTTAGCATGACCTCCACCATTACTGTGAGGGGTGGATAAAGAAATTAAACTAGGGCCCCACCTTCCGTAGCCCTAGAGAAAGGCTTCCTAACATCCATGGTTTACTGGAACTTGTGTTAAACTCTATTTTAGGACCTCATTTTTAGTTTCCATGAGCTGAAATTCTTCAAAGATCTCTTCTTCCCTCATCTAGTTCAATATCCATGCACGTGAAACAACTTCTATTGTTGAAATATGTGAAATTGCATTTTTGCTGATGGTAGATATTGGTTTGCTGAATGGTAGATATGTTTTGGTTGAGCTAAGTAGGCACTTTTTCCACATTAGATGCTCAATAAATGTTTCCAAAATTAAATACTAACAAATAAGAACATAGACTCTGGGTTTAAAACTTTTGAAAAGTACAGAAGTAAAAAGGAAATTACTTTTTTCATCTTCCATGCCAACATTTATCCCATTACCAAAAGGTGGCTACTATTCTTTTATTTTTTTTCCTTCCAGAAAGTATATAGAGGAATAATATATATTTTTTCATTTTATGTAAATAAAATGAAGTTTCTCTTTCTCTCTTTGTTACTACATTGTACAAAAATACCTGGATGAGTTTCCATCACATTTCAGAAAAAATTTTAAAGGTGATTTGATTTAAGATAGGCTGCACAACAGAGATGAAATTCACTTTGGAGACTCCTGTTGAACATTCCAATGAAGTAAACATTTATGCTCCAAAGTAACTGACACTGAAGGACAGGAAGTTAAAGTTGTGCTGCCATGTGCAAAAGAAGTGTCATATAGAATGAAAGATCAAGGACAGAGAAATCAAACTGGGATTTCAGGTATTGATCCCAACAGGAGATTCACAGAAATAGGCACTCTAACTTGCAGGTGTTAATTTCTGATGGAGATCTTTCTCAGTCGAGAATTGAGTTTCTTTTTTCGGTATCCCTTAGGATGCATATCAGCACAGATTTATTTATTTAATATAGGTTAATGAACCTCTCAAACTATCCTGGACAGTTTGCTACTTCTGTATGGATGCTTTCTTCTTTCACATATGATATTTTGTAGAACACACAAAACATACATGAGTGTCTACTCTGAGTCAGGCACTGTATTACATGATGAGGTTATAAAAATAGCCAAGATTTGAGTCAATTAAGAAGGAGGCAAATTTCACTAGTCATCTTGAGAGTATGTTTGATGTCTACTTTGTGTATGAAGCCCTTAAATTAGCAAGGCAAGGAGCATAGAGAGGGCATGTTTCTATGGATTATTTTTTTAATGGCTTCCTTATATATATTTATTCCTTCATTCAACAAATACAATCAGCTTTCCTATTAACGGCTTCTGCAACAACAGATTGGACAAATGGTGAATGGAAGATATTTGGAAAAAGAAATGCATCTGTATTAGACATGTAAAGATTTTTTCCTTGTCATTATTCCTTAAACACAGTATAACAACTTTATACACACCATTTCCATTGTCCTAGATATAAGTAATCTAGAAATGATTGAAAATATATGGGAGAGTGTCCATAAGTTCTACACAAGTATACTACTTCATCTCAGGGAATTGAGCATTCTGCAGATTTTACTATTGGCAGTAGCCACCTTCTCATCTCTGGGACAAAATGGCTGACACATACAATTTAAGAGAGAAAAGGTTTATTTTAGTTCATGGTTTCAGAGGTTTCAGTCCATGGTCATCTGGCTCCAAGGCAGAAAGTTCATGGTAGAAGGGCATGGTAAAAGAAAACTGGTCACATCTTGGCAGCCAGGAAGAAGAGATGGTTGGAAAGGGCCAGAGAGAGGAAGAGGGGTTGGGGACAGGACATTTCCAAGATATGCCTCCAGTCACTTTCTTCCTCCAATCAGGTCAGACCTCCTAGTAGCACATTCACCTGTGAACTCATCAATGCATTAATCAATTGATGTGCTTAGTGCCTCCATGACTGAATTACCTTCCAAAAGCCCTACCTCTGAACACATGAGCCTTTTGTGGATCTTTTTTTTTTTTTTTTGGTACCAGGGATCGAATTCGGGTCCTTGTGCTTACGTAGCAGGTGGCAAAACCACTGAGCTAAATCCCTGGCCCTTGTGGGTCATTTTTCATACAGTCCATATCAATATCTCAACAGAAGAATCCTGGGACCAATCTCCCACAAATACCAAAGGACCATTGCATATATTCAGTGCAAATATTTGGTTGGGAGGCCCTCATCAGTCATTGTAAGAATTTTGGCATTTACCTGGGATGAAATGAAAGTGACTGGAGTAGCTCTGAGCAGAACATTGATGAAGTGAAATGATGTACATCTTAACAAATTTACTATGGCTATTTTATGGAGAATGCTGCCTAGGGAGCAAGGATAGAGAAACCAGTAGGAGGCTATTACAGTACTATAGAGAGATGATGGTATGTGGACAAGGATGTGATGGTAGAGATGCTAGAAATCAGCCATAATTCAGGTTAATGAAATCATATTATAGTGATGCATGCATACCCATATTTATAGCAGCACAATTCAGAATAGCTAAATCTTGAAGAGTGTCTCTATGTCCATCAATGGAAGAAAGGATAAAGAAACTGTCACATTATACACAATGGAGTACTACTCTGCCATAAGGAAGGATTAACTTGAGTCATTTGTAGGAAAATGAACCTTGAGATCATAATGTTAAGCAAAATAAATCAGACATACAAGCTTAAATATCACATTGTTTTTCTTATGTGAGAAAGCCAAATTATAAAGAGCAAAATAAAAGAGAGATAATAAGAAATAGGCAGATAGATCTTTTGCAAAAGGAAAGGGGACCAAGAAGTGGAGGAAATGAAGGAGATTAAAAAAGAAATAAGCTGTGTTATGTATACAAGGAATAAAATCATTATGTACTGATATATTCGGAAGACATGTTTGGTGATGGATGAATGTAGGGCATGAGCATATTATAAATGGAAAGCTGGAGTTAAGGAGAGTTAAGAGCTTAGCTGGGCATATATACGAAATATGCAGGAATATGATTATAATAATTGGACATGCAGAGCTGGGGATGTAGTTCAGTCATAGAGCACTCAGCTAGCATACATAAGGCCCTGGGTTTGATCATCACACGAAGAGAGAGGTGGTGGGGGGAGTTGAATATAGAAGTATATGGAAATTAAGTTGGATAAAGAAGGAGTCGAGGAGCTCAGATGAGGTGAGGAAAAATGAAAAGGTGGTAACGTTAATGGATTGTTGATTTTGTTATTGTCAAAGTCATATCCTTGGAGACAGGATTCTAATAAAAATAGGTGGTGCTGGTAAGTTGTATACTGGAAATTTAGATTATGGTGGGGTTGCAAATTTTTACAATAACAAGGTGTACTGATATCTGGCTTTGTCTCTTCCCCTAGTGAGCTCAGTCTGGAGCTATGTTGCTAGCCCGAAGGTTTTGTAGATAATTCAAACTCTAAATGTCCAAAGAGAATTCACTATTAGCACCAACAATCTCAATGTACTCTTCTTTCTTTATCCACCCCTGCAGTAGAAACCACATCATCTTCTTAGCACCCTTTCTGAAAGAGTCCTCAACTGCTCTCAGCAGCTCTGTCCTCTCAACCCCAATTCATTCCGCTCCTTGACCCCTAGGCAGTATCTCATTACACACAGAACAGCAAACTTTCTACCATGGTGTGAAAAGCCCTGCATCAGCTGACCTCTGCCTGATTTTCCACCTTCACCTTGCACCACTCTTCTCTGGCCCAACTCTAATAATTCAGGTTTTTAACCTCATGGTGGGATCATTAGCATTCTTCATGTCTTAGTTAAAGGTCACCTTCTCAGAGTCACAACTGTCCTAAGTACAATAACTTCTCTTCTATTATTTTCTATTGTCGATACAACAATTCCTTCTTTTTTTAGTATATGTGCTGCCGAAGCGAGCACAACAATTCCTTCTTTATTTATGCTTACTACTGAAGGGTGGAGAATATGCTGCTTTGAGAAAAGAATTATTTTGCGCTAA